AATCCTACAATGTTATTGTTGAAAAGGCCCGTGGTAGGCTGCAAAAAGGTCCCCCAATAAATATCCACATCCTAATCATCAGAGCCTCTCCATGTTAACTTATATGGCAAAAAAGATCCATGCAGATACAGATGTGATAAAGTTTAGGATGTTGAGATGGGGAGATTATCCTGGATTATCAGGATGGGCCCTAATGCAATCACATGTATCCTTATCAGAGTGAGGCAGAAGGAGATTAGACACACAGAGGAGAAAGTGATGTGAAGACAGAGCAGATAAAGATTGGAAGATGGGCTGGCTGAGTGGCTCAGTTGGTTAAGAGCTCATTCAAGAGTGTGAACTCTGAGCAACAGGGTTGCCGGTTCAATTCCAAGCTGAGCTGCACTGAGCTGCCAACCGGTGGTAAGATGGCTCAGCTAAAAAAATTTTTTTAAATAAAATAAAATTATTCTAGATTGGAAGATGCAGGTCTTGAAGATTGCAGTGATGCAGTCACAGGCCAAGGAATGCCAGCAGCCACCAGAGACTGGAAGAGACATGGGGTGAATTCTCCCCTAGAGCACTTTGATTTCAGCCCAGTGACACCGATGGCAGACTTCTAGCCTTCAGTACCACAACAGAATAAATTCCTGTTGTTTTAAGCCACCTGATTTATGGTAAGTTGTTATGGCAGCCCCAAGAAACTAGTACAGGACCCTTAGAGTTCATCTAGTCCAATAATTTCCACACATTTTTTAGCAGCAAAATCAATGCCTTTTCAAATGAAATCATAGGTTGTAGCCTATCGAGACAACAGATGAAAGTAGAGGGGCTATGGTTGAAAAAGTGGGGGAAGGGTCCCCACCTGCTATGTTTCCTCCTATCTCCATAGTGGCTCCTGACACACGTCTGAGAACCTCCCACCAACAGAGCATGAAACACACACACCTAGTTCCAACCACCTCATTGTACAGATGCGTAAATTGAGGCCCTGTGGGGCTGAGTGATTGGCTGGAGGCCTCTCTTGGTGGGCAGGCAAGAAATACTTGGGAGGAGGAAACAAGGCAAGCTACCTTCGCCCGCTCTTTTATCTTTTGTGGTTAGACTAAAATTCCTATGTCCCAAGTAAACGATGAAGAATACATTGGAGTCTCTAGATGAATTTTGTTTTTAGCACCACTTTCTGTTTTGAACAAGGACTGCCAACTGTGTCAAATGTGGCAAGGCTCAAATGAAATATTTGTTCATGAAAAACACAGACCTTGAGCAGGCTGTTATAGCATCTTAGGAGATGAAAAAAACAACAAAAACCACTGCTTGAATTTTCACCAGTGTTTGGAAATATAGCCTCCCAGATATGCCTATAACAGCAGGAGTGAGGAGGTGGACAGGAATGAATCACAAAATGAAGCATCTGGTGGTGTACCCGAAAACATGAATCCCCAAGTGGATCAAAGAGAGCCCAGACAAGAACATAGGTGAATGCCACAATCAGATTTTTCTTGTTGTTGGAGTCAAAAATACTGAAGGTCAGGTCTGCTAAAAGGCCTTTGTGGGGGATGTAGAAAAGGTTACAATAAAATACCACTACCCCTTTTCCCCCTGGCCTTGGTACTAACAAACAAAACATTAAAAGTCAGGTTGTCTTTGTTTCACTCAACATTTGGCTTCTTCAAAGGGACTGAAACCAAAAGTTTCAATTATAATTCACTAAACTCTATAAAAGCAAAAAACGAAAAAGAAAGAAAAAGCAGTCAAGTTCTCTTTCCTCCCCAAGAATAGCCAAGGAGGATGGCATTTTCAAAGGAAACTTTACAAGGACCTAAGAGGAGCCCAAAGGGAAAGAAGCAAACAAGATCCAACCCCATTCCCCAGGGGTTAAAATAGCTGACTATTTACCAGATTCAAAACTCACGATGATTTATGTAACCGTTTCCAAGGCCACTGGCCTCATTCTATTTTGCACTCCTGCTACTTGATCATTGGCATTGGGAGAAGTATTGTATTTGGGAAAAGGGAGGCAGGGTGTGTTCCAAGAACGAACAAAACCATGGGAGGCCTGAACCCAGACCAATGGGTGAGCCAACAACGTCAGCTGCCCTCTCAAGGCTGCTGGGAGGGGGCACTCAGCACAGCAGATGGAAAACAACTGTCAGGGGACAGCAAATGGCATTCACGTGGCTTCCTTTGTTCTTTGGTGTTGCTAAGGAGGGCGTTCTTCCTCCACTCTGGAGGCCACATGGTTCTTCCGTTCCCAAACAGAAGGGAAGGATGGGAAAGGAAGGATGAAGTTCCCTGGCTGCCACCGGGTACCGCTGCAGCTGATGGGAGAGTGTAGCTTTATGCAAAACACACCAAGGCACCTCCAGAGTGGGACAGCCTTCACTGGAAACAACCCATCTGAGACTCTTTCTTTTCCTTTGTTTATTTTGGCCTTCAGGTAATGACACTCCTCAATTCATGGCATCACCATCATTGGCATGTGAGGTCCCTCTCTGGCTGCATCCATCCATCCATGCATCCATCCATGCATGCATGCATCCATCCATCCATCCATCCATCCATCCATCCATCCATCCAGTCCTTGTAATTCCTGTTTTCCACTCCAATTCAACCCCCCTCAGCAGCAAACAATTGAGTGTGTGCTCTGGCAAATATGTAGAGTAGTGAGTGTGTGTGTGTGTGTGTGTTTTCAACAAACACAAGTGGCATTGTCTTGGAGGACTTGTTTGGTTTCTTCCTGGGTGCTTTTTGGCTCAGCCCTATGCGTGTTACCTCTCCATGCTGCTGTGTGTTCCTCAGTTACTTCTCCTTTTCCCCAGTGGTGGACAAGGGTTGCCTCAGATCCTCTGTTAGCACAAGCAGTGCATGATGAATTCCTTGTGTGGGTCCCTGCAGCAGGCTGAGTAATGGCCCCAAAGCCATCAGGGCCTAATGTCTGGAACCTGTGCATGTTAACTTGTACGGCAAAAGGGACTTCGCAAATGTGATAAAGTTAAAGATCTTGAGACAGAGCGATTATCCTGAGTTATCAGGGTGGGCCTGAAATGCAATTACATGCTGTATGAGCTTTCTGGGGCTGCATAACAAAGTACCATAAACTTGGTGACTTAAAACAACAAAAACTGACTCTTTCATGGTTCTGGAGGCCGGAAGTCCAAAATCAAGCTGTCAGCAGGGCACAGTCCCTGCAAAGGCTCTAGGAGAGAATCCTTCCTCACCTCTTCCAGCTTCTGGTGGCCACGTGCATTCTTTAGCTTGTCGCAGCACACTCCAATCTCTGTCTCCATCTTGCCCTCACCTTCTCCCTTGTGTCTCCATGTATCCTTTCCTCCTTTTATAAGGGCACCAGTCATTGGATTCAGGGTCCCTCCTAGTCCAGTATGACTACATTTCCTAATGAGGTCACTTTCTGAGATTCGGGAGGAACATGAATTTTGTGGATAGACTATTTAAACAGTACACATAGATTATTTTAAAAGGGAGTCATGGGAGCGCTCTCTCTCTCTCTCTCTCTCTCTCTCTCTCTCTCTCTCTCACACACACACACACACACACACACACACACACGGAAGGCAATGTCAAGATGGAACAGGGAGAGAAGTGAATGATGCGGCCACAAGCTAAAGAGCACGTGAAGCCACCAGAACCTGCACGAAGTAAGGGAGGACCCTCTCCTAGAGCCTCTGGAGGGTGTGTGCCCTGTTGACAGCCTGATTTCAGCCCAGTGATACTGTTTTGGACCTCTGACTTCCAGAACTATGACAGAGTACATTTCTGTTGTTTTAAACCATCAAGTTTGTGGTAATTGGTTACAGCAGCCACAGGAAACTAACGATTTGTTTGTGGGCCTGCAGGAGAATTTCTTGGGGGTATAACCAGAAGAGGGGTTGCTAAGTCATTGTGGACATGGCTTTCCAAAGCAGCTGCTTCAATCTAGCTGGATTCCCAGCAGTAGCACACAATGGTTCCCCTTTCTCTTTATTCTAGCCAACACTTGGCATCATAGAGCTGCTTTTTGCCAATCTGACATGTGTGTATCCTATCTCATTATTTTCATTTGCATTTCTCTGATTACTAATGAATCTGAGCATCTCTTCCCATACTTACTTGCTAGCCTTTTGGGTTTCTCCTTCTGGGAATTGCCTATTCATATGCTTTGCTCAATTTCCTGTTGGGTCTTTTTCCTGCTGGTTTGCAGAATTTTCTTGTATATTTTCTCCATTAATCCCTTGTTAGCTTTAAACAGCAAGTATCTTCTCCCCATCTGTCGCCTGTCTGTTAACTATCTGTGGTGTCCTTCATGGAAAAAAAAAGCCTTAATTTTGCTGTAATCAAATCTATCTAAAGCAAGACTGCCAACAGAGGGATAGACTGGTCAGGGACCGTTATGCAAACAGACTAAGTACTCTGTGTGTGTGTGTGTGTGTGTGTGTGTACATACGCAGGCCACACAGGCCACACATGAGCATTCATCTCTGATTGAATGTCTACCCCCCAGGGATCGGTGTGTTGCCCAATGTTTAGGACGAACTGCTCCCTCGTTCCCTCCACTAATACACATGGTCTGGCACAGTGATTGTCAAACATCAGTGCAAACTAGAATCACTCAGAGAACTTATTCAAACCCAGATTCCTGGGCCCACCCCCACAATTTCTGAGTCACAGTCTGGAAGGGGGCAAAAGATTTGCATTTCTGACAAGCGCCCAGGTGAGTTTGACGCTGCTAGCCCAGGGACTACACTTGGACAGTGATTCAGGAGTATACGTGGAAGGCTAGCGTGTGAGTTCAGAGGCCACACCATCTTGCAGTGGACCAACCAGCAGCAGGGAATCTGGAGAGGAGGGGGCAACAGCTTATAGACAGCTGTTCAGAAGAACCCCAGGAGCCACCAAGCCAAAGGATTTCACAGAGCAGGAAAATGAGACCCAAAGGGGGTCAGTGACTTGACCACAGTCACACTGGTGGCCGAGTCCAGCCTGCCTGCTCAACACTCTTTTCATTTGTTGCATATACATACCCCAGAAGGACTCTCCTTGGGCATACACGTGCCCCTCCACAGCTTGGGGACTTGCTTGCAAATGACCAAGGGGACGCATGGCAGCCACCCTGTGTTTCCCATCATCACCACTGTCGTCACAGCTGGTCCAGCAGAAAGAAGCCAGGAAGTACCTAGAAAGCATCCATGAGACAAAGCAGCCTGCACTCGCCCATTCCTTCCTTTCTCAGGCACTCCAGAGCAGCCCTGAAGCCACTGGGTGTGTGTAGGAAGGGAGTGGGGTGGGGGGCAGGGAGGTGTAGACAGGGCCCCATCGGGAGGTTCCTTCTCGCCTCTCCCACCCCACTGCTGACACCAGGCTTCCTGAGGCTGGAACAGTTGACTCCTCCCTGCCACTACCTGCCTCCTTTCTTCCCCTAAGGAGGGCTGGGGCCTCCTCCTCCTCCACCAGGGGAAGGAAGGGAATAGAGAGGGGAGGGAAAGGAAATGGAAGGGATATGGAGGGATGAAAGTAGAGGGAAGGTTGGGGAGGAGAATAGTAGAGAAGGAGAAGGAGGTAGAAGGAGGGGGGGTGAATGAGAGGTTAGAAAAAGGAATAGAAGGGAAAGGAAGGGAACAGACGTGGGAGAATTGAGAGGGGAGGAAAAAAGGGAGGGAGAATTAGGAGGGAGGGGCAAGGAAAGAGAGGGGAAGAGAATGGAAGGGTTAGACAATGGAATAGCTTTGATGAGGAAATGGCCAGAGGTCACTTATCCCAGCGGGACTCCCTCCACACCCCCCTCCAGCCCCCCTCTCCGGGTGTCAGCAAGGAGGCAGTTGGATGTGGGGAAAGGCCCCTGGTGTCCCAGCCACAGTGGGCACTAGGTGGCTGGCTCAGCCTTGTTGGTGAGTAGATGGGGCAGGCTTTGGAAAGGGGGACTTGCTTTCTAGAAAAGAAGCAGCACAGCAAGATGGTGCTGACACCCTCGCCACTCCCCCACTTCACCCCGCAGGCCACCTCCCCATCCTCACTCCCCACCTCACCTTGCAGTCTCAGTCTTCCTCTCAGTTCTGGAAGTCCATTTTTCACAAGGCCCGGCAAAAAGTCGACCAGGCTGATAGGATTGGCAGGGCATTCAGAAACCCAGGTGCCCTGGGATCCCCTCACCATGCCAATGCCATGTTCCTCACCACTCACTGTGCACTGGGTGCTCACCTGCACGCGGCCCTGCTAACTGAGGTCAGGAGTGAGCCCTGCCAGCTGGGCTCAGGACTTGGTGCTCAGCTTGGCCAAAGGGCCACTGACGGACTTTACCCTCACTTCAGCCCTTACATCAAATGGTGGGGAGCAGGCTGGGGAAAAGAGGGCAGAAGGACATGGCCCTGAGTGACCCTTAAACTGCTTGGCCAGCCAGCCTCTTGTTGCTGAGCCCCCCTCTGGCTGCCCATGGCCCTAGCAGCTGCCACTACCAGCTGCCCCTGAGCTCTGCTGATCCCCCAGGAATCTTACAGGATCTCATGAAAATGAACTCCTGGGAACCTGTGAGAAAGCTTTCTCTCTCTCCCTTCTCTCTCTCTCTCTCTCTCTCTCTCTCTCTCTCTCTCTCTCTCTCTCTC